GTGGGGAATCTGCATGGAGATTAAATTAAACTAATTAGACTAATTGGAAAATGGACTGTCACCAGAGTTTTATGTGCAACTCAGTATTTTGGAAAAGAGGCAGATTTAAGTAGGTAAGTGGGGTGGCAAGGTCAACCTTTCCATGACATCCAAGGTGAACTCAGAAAAATGGAATCCCTAAAAACAAGTTTGGAAAACGATTTTAATGGAGACAGACAGAGACGGCAGCTGCTGAAGGAAGAGAGAACAAAAGGCAAACCAACCAACATGAGATGCTGTAATTGATAAGACCTGGAGGAAACACAAGGAAGGACAGTCTACCTTTCTGGCCTCAGACAAAACAACCTTTAAAGGCTACCTTCCTCCTAGTTGGTGGGGTAAAGTTGCTTAGAATCACCAATGCATCATACATATTTAAAACTCTCCTTTCTGGGTTTATAATTTTCATAGAGGCAGCTTCCTGCAAACTTGAGTAATGAATGTAAGATGATGCCCCTTGGAGGGGTTGTAAAGAATCTAAGAACAAGTCATTTCAGAGTAACAAACTTCACAGCCGGAGATCATTTCCATTGCATAATGCACTTACTCCTGAAGCTTTTCATTGTTTCACTCTTACCCAGTTGTGTCATTATTTTACTTACCTCATAGGGGAAATCATTGTTTAAAAATCAAGTATAAACGGTGAAACAGTCTTCTACTTATCTTTTCCAGGATAATAGCTTTCCCTCCCCCACTTCTTGACACAGAAGGGTTAGGCCCCTGTGGGTGATGAATTGCTCCAAACAGTCTGACAGTCCCCTTGAGAGGAACGAGAGTAAAAATAACCAGCTGATTACCAATAGGGAGCAAATTGGCCACTTGAGGATTCAGTGGCTAGAATGACAAATGAGAAAATGAAAATCCTCATCAAGAGACTAGACTTTCTGATTAGTCCAAGTGCTGATGACCGCTTCCCATGCCTCTCCCTCCCTGCTGTGTGATGATTTGCATCTGATTGGGTTTTATTTTGTATTTGGGGCAGCCATTCCTAAAAGGGTGTTTGGAAGACTTTGAAGTGCTTAATTATAAACAGGAGGCAGTTGGGGGCTGAGCAGTGAAATGGAAGATGCCCTGTGTTGGGATGTGGAATGTTCATTTATAGAAGGAGACCATGTCTGGTTGGTTTTGGTCTGGCTTTTCATTCCATCACCCCATAAGGCAGTTTTCCAAGGTTTTCTGGACTCTGGAAGAAAATAAAATAAGAAAAGTATTCTTGGCCAAGGGATCCACATTTAAAGCAGATTCAAGGATTTCAACATGTGGATGGACTGGGCTTTCTATTAGTAATCAACGACTAAAAATAAAAATAATTTGGGAATCCTTTGAAGGAAGGTCATTTTTACCAGCCCTCATTTGAACAAATCCATCAAGGGAAAATAAATAATAAATTACTTACACAGCTGGCCTCAAAAAGCTTAAGTATATCAGTGGTGCTAAGTTGTATATGCATGAAGAGATAAAACAGAACTATGAACCATTTGCTCTCAACTGGGGACAGCCATGTGAGCAATAGGAATGAAAGGGAGAAAGAAGGTAATCAGGGTAGAATTCAGGGAGGAAGGGTGATATGACCCAGACTTTGAAGAATGGACAGTACATTTCTGGGTGAGATTTGCTTGAATCAAGAATGGAAATGATTTAAAAAAACATTTTGGTGCAAAGTGAGTAGAATGGCTCATCTTGAGCAAAGGGGTCTGTAAAAAAAGAGTCTGGACATGAGTTTCCTATGCATGAACTGCCCTTCAATACCACGGAGAGACTGAATTTGGTCTTAAGAGCAGTGGAGGAACATTAAGGGATCTGAGTAGAATCTGAAATGTTTTATAGGGCAGTTATTGGATCTGATGAAAAGACAAGACAAAACAATGTTCTCTGGAACTCCATCAAGTGAAATCAGCAGGAAGGATTGCCGTTTGACTTTTCTTTGGTTTTGACATCTGTGCTATGAAAGTGGAGAATGAACTGTCACAGTGCTTGCACATAGAAGGATTCAACAGATACTGCTGAATGGATGAATGAAGCTAGAGTTATTTAGGACTGGAGTACAGTTGCTTCCTAGAACAGCTGAGAAAGTCCTGAGGTTACTTCAGTTCTCCCAAGAGACAGAAATGGATAATTTGAAGAGGGCTAGGTTAGGAGTTAAGTGAACTTACACGTTTAGCCATTTTTGGATCTGTATTTCCTCACCTGAAAAATCAAGGGTGAGTTTTATGAAGGTGTTCTAACTGCAGGAATTTTTATATATATTTTTGAGACTGATGTCATGTAAGGCTTATGTTGGATGCTCATTGTAGTCCATGATCTAAGGCAAAAGTTAAGAACCTCTGAGTTATATTCCTTTTACACAGTAAGAGGCTGTGATTCTGAAAATCCAAGAATCATTTTCCTCCCCAGAAGGACAACAGAAACAGCTGATGCCAGACCTCTGCTAATGTTGTCACCTTGAAAGAGGCTCATGACTGACTGGTTTCACTAAAATGAGGAAGAAAAGGTTTTCTTCCTAATGGTGGACTCAGCCTCATATTCCCCAGTAAGTTAAGGAGCACTGTTGATCTAGTCAGCCATATTGGGGTGTAATTGACCATCAGAAGAGATGGATCATTCAAAGGCACTTGCTACTGTGAAAATGTGACATTGACAATGCTCTGACCTAGCTCTTTTTGTAGATTTTTTTCCTAGCCCTATATTCTTTTTTATAAGGGCCTTGGTCATAAGATGATCAGTAAGAATAACTAGTTAATGATGAGGAAAAGCATTTGGGAAGATGATACATTTTTGCTCTTAAGGCTGTTGTTCACAACAATATGCAATAATATTTTTGTCAAGCAGGCACACACAGTAGTCACTAATTTGAGAAAATGTCAATAATGATAAGATGTTGACCATTTGAAACATGAAAAGTGAAAGAAAATGTTATCGTTTCCATTAAACTTTGTCAGTAGAAGACTCCAATGTGGAAAGTTACTTCTCGGGGCCTCCCCTGGTGGAACAGCATTTGAGCACTGGGCTGCAAGGCTGCCCGCAGGCTCTGCGGCGCCGGTTCGTTCCCCGGCCACAGGCTGGGTCCCACAAAAAAAAAAAAAAAGTAAGTTACTTCTGGCAATTTATAATGAGACATGGGCTCTTATTAATGATTTTTGGCTTAATGTATTAATGAATAGAGATCTGATGGATAAAGGACTTACAATGCAATAAGGAAAACTCAAGAAGAGATTAGATACTAATCAAAATAAGTTGTGTTTTCAGATTGATTTTAATAAGTTCAAATCTGTTTCCTTTTATTTATGCCAAAAAGAAATGCATTGTGGTAAGATGATCCATATCATTGGAAGAAGAATAGACATTATATTTTAATATAATACTAATAAGCTGCAAGTGCCAACTCACAAGAAGAAACCATATACAGGCAAGGATAGGTATTCTTGGGTGAGGAAACTTTTTGCCTATTAATGTCAGTGAATTTATTTTCTCTTTTTGAATGGTAACTGTTAGTTCTAGTTGAAGAACTGGTTATCAACATTTGAAAACAAAAAGCCTAAAATGGAGATGTTATTCACAATGGCAGTGAAATTTGCTATATGTTACCGATCTTTATTTTCTTCCTCCTTAATATTTTTCTACTTCTCTCAGTACTAAAAAGATATTCTTTACTTTCATTAGGAAACCTAAATGAAAGGAGGAAACATTTCCCCCAAGAAAGGTCAAGAATTCTAGGCTACTTAGTTTGCAGAATCTGTGGAGAATATTGTCCAATTATAGTCAACATCCTTCTATTTAGTACATATTTATTCTAGATTTGTCTGTATCATACCATTTTATCTCTTCCACATAAAAGCAAAAACTTCTACTGCTTCTGCAATTTTCTTTTTTTTTCAACTGACAATAAAAAAAAGTACCGAGCACCACCAAAATCTCTGTCTTCCAATAAACTACTTTCAGTGTCCCAAAAATGAAAACTATGAGTTAACCCTAGAGGCCAGCGGAATATCATAACGTATTACAGATTACAAATAACAAAATGTTTTGCTCAACCTCCCACGGCAGTAGCAATAATGGGAAGCACCATATCAAAATTTCTTAAGTAACACTTAAAAATGCCCCAAATTGCAGTTACTCTGCCCTTGCAAGTTGCATGGCAACTATGGTAAAATCTCAGTGGTGTATAATGGTTTGCCAAACTACCTAACCTTCACCCATATCATTGCTTATGTCAACATTGAGTTGACTCAATGTGTATTTATTCTGGTATTCATTTTGTTATTCTAAAAACTGTTACTGTATATAGTAGCTTAAAAATACTGACCTGATTCTACCATGGTAGAATCTGGAGCAGCATTATGGTCAGCTTCTCCTCCTAGTTAACAGCAAAGGGGGCAAAATGGAGACAGTGACAGAGGATATAAACCAAGCTCACATCTGCTGAACTCTCAATGACTTTCTGATGAGAGGATCTGACTGTCCACAGTTGACCCAAATGAAAAACACACAAGGACATTTATTAAATGCTTTTAGTCACTTAGGTTATGTGGGCTTAAATGCCAAGAAGCACTTTAATTTTCTGGGTAATATGGTATCCCCAGCATTTTCACATCAAGACAGTGACTGTGCATTGGTCCCATGATAAATGTTTAATTAACCTTGTATTACGGTTAGAATTGCTGCTGGAACCTTTGGGGATTGTGTGCTGGTTCTTTTTTGTCATCTGAAACACCCCCCACCATAACCTTTTCACTGGCCTCTCCAAAATTTCTTCTTTCTACCTAGGGAGGTAAATTCTACTGCAGAATTATTGCCACTTGAATGTTTCATAGTGTTCTCAAGAATTTGGAGACAGTGACTGTGGTTTTCAAACAAATCTGACGGGCTGCTAAAACATAGGTTAAGCATTAAAGGATTCTGTGGTCTTCATGGATTTCTCATATTTTTACCTCCCTCAGAGTATGATTTTCTCCATTTCACAGATGTGGAAACTGAGATTCAAGGAAGTTAACTATCCACTATGACAGCTAATATATGGTAAGTCGAATTCATTTCATGTACTTAAAACCTTGAGAACTTTTTACAAGAATCCTACCCAGTTGTCCTGTAAGTCTATCATGGAAACTGTCAGAACAAACTATTTAGTGATAATGGAAGAAGGAAAAACAAAACAATATATCTATATAGTTACTGTGAAGAGCAAGAGAGCTAGACGGAGAGAGAGAAAGGGAGAGGATCTGCTGTTACTGTTTCTGTGACTGGGAAGTCACTGTTCATGTCTCTCTTTCATTTCCTCGTTTATCAAATAGGGGTGCATGGATTCCACTGCATGCATTCTTAGGACTCCTGCTAAAGAATTCCAACATGTGTGTTTACACCATACCATAATCTGTAAAAGCCTCCTAAAATATTGCAGATCGGGGGTCTCCTTTTCCAGATCCTTCCCCTCTCCTACTTTTAAATTTAAGAATTCCCAGCATTCCACCCCAAATCCTCTGTTCTTCTCAGGCACTGCTTTCTCCCTGGGTGGTCTCACATTTGTCTAGCTCCTGGTTTATTTTGTCTGATGTTAATAAAGTTACTCCATTTCTTTATGGTTGCTATTTGCATGGCATATTTTTTTCAGTCTTCTGTTTCCAAATTATTTGTGTCTTTGAATCTAAAGTATAGTCCTTGAATCTAAAGTATAAAGTAGTTGAATATTTGTTTATTCCAATCTGATAATCTCCTTATCAGAGCCTTTCATTATAATCTAATTGTAATATAATGGTGTTATTGGTATGGTTGATTTACATCTGCCACTTTACGTCTACCTTTCCAATTCTTATCTGTTTTGAAATCTTTTTCGTTACTTTGTTTCTCCTTTACTGCATTACTTTCCATTTAATGGGTATATCCTAGTGTTGAATTTTAATTTCTTTAATAAAGCACCATTATATTTTTTGAAAAATATTTTCTTACTTAGTGGTTGCTCTAAGGGCTTAAAATATACAGCTTATTAAAGTCTACTTCATATTTATAGTAACATAATGCCAATGAATCACAAAAACTTTTACATAGCTCTGTTCTCACCTCCTTTTGCAATATTTTAATAATGATTATGTAATCTTATATATCTTACAGAACCTAGGATAAGGAAGCAAGTACACACAGGGTTTACTATACTGATCTTTTAATTTACCATTTCTGATTCATTGTATTTCTTCCTATGGGTATGAACTACTACCTGGTATCATTTCCTTACCCCCCAAAACAATACTGCTCCCACCTAATAAATTGTGCTCCTATTTTCAAATATATTTCCACATACAATAAGTCCAATAGTAAATTACATATACAGTTATATATATATATATATATATATATATATATACACACATTGTTTTTTTTAATTATGTATGATTTAGGGGCATATATTTATACCACTTCAGATATGTTACCATACCACCCACCTCCCAAAGCCTTCATAGTCCTTTGAGACCCCAACACTCCTCTGTTCCTACACCCTCACAATGCTCTTCTAATAGCCTCATTTTCTACACATTTTAAGAGTTTGTTTTGATTCAGTTTATTCTGTTCCTTTTTTGGTCTATATTCCACTCATACATGAAATCATCCTACATTTGTCTTTCTCCTTTTGACTATTTTAATTATCATAATTCCCTCCAGCTCTACTCATGCTGTCAAAAATAGCAAAAATTCATTTTTATATGTGCATGTATTCCATTGCGTATATGTACCACATCTTCTTATATCAGTCATCTGTTCTTGGGCACTTAGGTTGTTTCCATAATTTGGCTACTGTAAGTAGTGTTACTAAGAACATGGCAGTGCATATATCCCTTCAAATGACTGCTTTTGTATCCTTTGGGTTAGATACCTAGACGTGAAATTGCTGTATCATATATGGTAGATCTATTTAATATCTTGAGACAATGCCATGCTGTTTTATATAGGGGCTAGACAAATCTATAAACCTAACATTGTAGGTACGTTCTTTCTTCTCCATGCCCTCACCAACACTTATTGTTTTGAGCTTGGTGATATGGGGCATTCTCACAGTGTGAGGTGGTATCTCATTGTGGTTCAATGTAATGCTGAATTTTGTTTGCTCCCATTTTGTACAGAATTTTTGCATCTATGGTCATAAGGGACATGGGTCTGTAGTTTTCTTCCTTTTTTCTTTTTTGGTGATATCTTTGTTGGTATTTTTTTTTATTAAAAGATTGATTTATTTATGCATACAAGAGCTAGGGTGCAGGCCAGAGGTGGTGGGGTGGTGTGAGGATTCACCAGAGACAGAGTGGAAAGCAGGACAGGCAAATTGACTGATACACTGCTCAGGGGAGCAGCGGGTGAGACAGGAGAGGTCTGATGTGCCATGTGGGTTAGCTCCCTGGTCGGGGATCGAACTCATGCTGCAGTGGCTGCGGATAGCTTCACAGTGTTGTCTTAACCTCTTGTGCCACCAGGGAGGCCCAGTATGTGGTATTACAGTAATGTTGGCCTCATAAAAAGTATTTGTAAGCATTACTTCTTCAATTTTTTTTTAAAGTTTGAGAAGGAACGATATCAGCTCATCTTTGTCTCATGGAACTTACTAGTGAAATCACCTGGTCCACCTGGTGTTTGGAGAGAACACTGATGATCATTTCAATCTCCTTGCTTATAACTGGTCTGTTCAGGTTTTCTATTTCTTCCTGATTCAGTCTGAGGACAATTCCAGGAATTTGTTACCTCCACATTTTCCAATTTGTTGGAAATAAGATGTTCGTATTATTCTCTTATGGTCCTCTGACTTCTGTGATATTGTGCATAGGTTTTCAAATTAGCAAAGGGAACAAAGAATGCCATTTCATTGTCTTTTTGTGAGATTTTGTATTATCTATAATTAGCCATATTAAAGGGTAGAGTTCAATGGCATTTAGTGCATTCACAATGTTGTGAAACCACTACCATTTCCAGATTAAAAAATTTTGATCACCCACAAAATACATTGTGTCCATTCCCCCTCCTCCCAACTCCTGCAACTACTTAACTGTCTCTCTGGATGTATCCGATCTGCATAATTTATATAAAGGAATCACATATGACCTTTTGTGTTCATCTTCTTTCACTGAGCATGTTTTAGAGCTTCATCCATGTTGCAGCACATATATGTATCACATTTCTTTTCATGGCTGGATTATATTTCACTGTATGTATATACCACACTTGGTTGGCTTATGCATTCATCTGTTGATGGATATTTGAGTTGTTTCATGTATGCCTTGGCTCTAATGAATAATGCTGCCATCAAATCCATGTACAAGTTGCTATATAGACATATATTTTCATTTTTCTTAGATAATGTCCTAAGAGTAGAAATGTTGGGTCATATAGTAATTCTGTATCCTGTTTTTGAGAAACCACCACAGTGGCTGCAACATTTTGCATCCCTCCCAGCAATATACAAGAGTTCTTATATCTTCACACCCTAGTCAAAGCTTATTATTATTATTATTATTATTATTAGCCATTCTGGTAGGTATGAAGTGGTAGCTCACTGTGGTTTTTACTTGCATATTGACCCTCCCTTCATGTGCTTTTGGTCATCTGTATATCTTTTTGAGAGAAATAACTATTCAAGTCCTTTGCTTGTTTTGAAATTGGGTTTTTTACTTTTTTGTTTTTGAATTGTAAGAGTAGTTTATGTATTCTGAATACTAAAAAGGCTTATCAGATATGATTTGCAAATATTTTCTCCATTCTATAGATTATCTTCACTATTTTGATAATGTCCACTGATGTGCACAAAAGTTTTTATTAAGCCACATTTATCTAATTTTTATTTTCTTGCTTGTGCTTTTGCTGTTAAATCTAAGAATATGCCAGTAAAATGAGGTCATAGACATCTACCCATATGCTTTGTTCTAATTGCTTTATAGTTTTTTTCTCTTATATTCCTGTTGTTGATAAGTTTTCGTCAATTTTCATATTTAGTGAGATAGGGATTGCTCAGGGTGTTCTCAGATGAGTGCAGTTATCTGCTCAGTGTCTTCTATAAACTATTTTTACAAGGACTATATTCCCTTATCACATATAGTCACTCACTGAAGTCTTAACTCTGTTATCACAGCATTCAGTGGCCTTACAGAGAATTCCTTGAAGGCACAGATGACAGAAAGAGAACAAGAAGGAGGAAGGGAGGGAGGTAGAAAGGAAGGAAAGATGAACGTATATGTTTTAGAGCTTCATGAATCTAAAAGGAAGAAATGTACATGAATTTAAAAGGAAGAAATGGACATGATTTCACCACCTCTCCCCCTGGTAATGGTACCAGGGTCTCTGCTTCAGTCAGAGATGGTTGAAACAATGGTCAGCTCTTGCGCTGGTACCTCAGTCATCTGCCAGGCAGATCAAATGTACAACCCTGATTCTTTGAGGACAAGGTGCTTATTGGTCAACATGGTAGCCTAAAGCCTTAGGGAACACGGCTGCCATCCCCACAGCCACCTGCTACAGGACTGGGGGATGGAGGATGGTAGCTTTTCTATACAATGCAAAATTCACCAAATTTGTCAGACTTATTAAGTACTTCTCTGGACATTGTCAGCATCTAACAAGACCCCACATTTCCAAAATAGTGCATTCTAACTATTAATTCCTTTTCAATAGATTTTTTTCCAGTGAAGGAATTAATTCGTAATGTCTCCTACTCCATCACCTTCCATAACACACATTATTATCTTCACTGCCACTCTTTTTTGTGTGTGTGCAACTCAAATTAGTTTTATATCACTTCTTTGCAGCCTAACAAACTTCCTTTAGCATTCCTTATGAGGAATGTGTGCTATCAACAAACACTCTACTTTCAGCTTTTGTTTCCCTGGGAGTATATTTATTTTTCCTTTAAATGAAAGTTTTGCTGATTCTTGGTGGACATTTTTTTTTCTTTTATCATTTTAAATATGCTTTCCTATTGTTTTCTGGCCTCCAATCTTTATGAACAAAAGTAGATATCTCTTGGAGTTTCTTCATATTTCACTTTCAAATAT